GTTTGGTTCAATATTATACTCTCTTTATCTTCTATAACTGACATTCACATTCATAACATTGACATCCCCATCATCCTCAAACTTCCATGTATAGGGTGATCCATACATCTCCCTTCTTCTCTCTTCCATCTGCCTACGCCCTCTTCCATGTTTGGTTCAATATTATACTCTCTTTATTTTCTATAACTGACATTCACATTCATAACATTGAAATCCCCATCATCCTTGAACTTCCATGTATAGGGTGATCTCCCCTTTTCTCTCTTTCATCTGCCTACGCCCTCTTCCATGTTTGGTTCAATATTATACTCTCTTTATTTTCTATAACTGACATTCACATTCATTATATTGACATCCCCATCATCCTCAAACTTCCATGTATAGAGTGATCCATACATCTCCCCTTTTCTCTCTTTCATCTGCCTACCCCCTTTTCCATTCTTGGTTTGATATTATACCCTCTTTATTTTCTATAACTGACATTCACATTCATGAAATTGACATCCCCACCATCCTCAAACTACCATGTATAGGTGGATTCATACATCGACCCTTTTCTCTCTTCCATCTGCCTACCCCTTCTTCTATGTTTGGCTTAATATTATACTCTCTTTATTTCCTATAACTGACATTCACATTCATAACATTGACATCCCCATCATCCTCAAACTTCCATGTATAGGGTGGTCCATACATCCATGTGATGAAAAGATGCAATTTTGTACAAGAAATATACTCTCCATGTCCAATGCAGTGAAAATAAAATCATTCAATAGTTTCACTCAGAAGTATATAATACAGAATGGGACTACATCAAATATCGCTAAATAATTTTCGTACCTATGCATATTTTTCGATAATTTGATCTCGAATAAAAAAAAACACAGTCTCCTTCATCGTAATGATCAGATGTATTATTATCGAGCGAAAGCGATTTCAAAATATCGTTACATCTCAGATATTGCAAGGAGTCGTAGTGGAAATGGAAGGAATGGCACAAAAGTTAAAGTAGTTTTTTTTATAATTTTTTCATGTTCAGCGCATTCATGAAATTGTATGATGAAGAGACTGTAATTGATTTTTGTATGGCAACTATAGTTCGGAATTTGGCAACGTTATGTACCAAATGTGTGTGTATCAATATTTTTGAATCGATTGCCCTCGGAAGTTATACATATGATCGATGCAGAACAAAAGCACCTCTTTTTGTGAAATGATGTGAATTTTCATTATCTGTGATTGAATTGTCAAAAAATATGCATACAAAAAAGTTTGAGCAATATTTGATATAGCCCCACCTTGATATTATGTTCACTACATTGAGGATGAATCATCAGGAGCCCCCATTAAGGAGGACGACTCATGTCCATTGTAACTTTTCTGCCAATTTTTGTTAGTAGAAGCCGCTGGTGAAGTTAATTTCGGGACACCCTGTATGAGAGGAGTTCAAGCTGAACTTTGCCCATTGTGTTAAATTGAAATACTGAATGTAGTCGATTTTTATTAGTATTGTTATTATTATTATCATATGTAGGTATCATTTCATTTAGGGGCTAATGGATGGTGATTCACAGTGGATTATGGAGGATGTAATAAATTGATTTTAATCGAAATTCCACTCACACTACTCACACTGAGACAGTGGAATCTCTTATCGTTATTCCGATAAAACCCACACAATTTGAAACAGTTTTGACGCAAACCAATTCGTCGAACTGTTTCACGCAAAACGGCGAATGATCGTCACGCAAACTCTTATCGTTTTCACCTCTTCAGGTACTTTCATACACGAGGAATACAATGAGTCAGCAGTGAATGAAAAAACAACAGAACGTGAAATACAAAATGCACTCATGGAAATATCGAGAAACCTTATAGATGCATCCCTTATAAGGTACCGCAGAGTTCAATAGTTATAAAAACTACGTGAGCTGCTGTTTTGCCGAAACTGATGAACAATACTTGCTTGTTACTCATAGCAAATATCGCAAAAATTCATTACACCTAAGTGTGAATAAAATCACCAAGGAATAGTATCCTCTGCTGTAAATGTACTGCTGAACCTGAATATCCTAGAAACAAGGTGAGTCTCTCAGTGCTGATCGTGATTCACATCAAATTAATATGATCATAATAAGGGAGAGTAAAGGTCATCATCTCTCTACTATCATCGAGCTCTAGCGATTCAAAACAATTGAGACTATGTGAATATACTCATTGGTAACTTGAAACTGGAATGTTAGATGATAAATACTTCGTCACATCTAATATTCTTCTGAATCATCTTCATATACAAGATGAATATTTCTCCTGGAATTTCGCGAAACACGTTAACGTTTTGATGTATACAACAATATTTCCCGAGCAATATGAAGGATATAACCCTTCAGGGGTAGCAAAAACAAGCCCCAGCAAGTTGTTGGGGATTCAGTACGTTCGAGGGTTGCATACAATCGAAACATAATTTCGAAATTCAGTTGAATAAAGCATTTCATCAGTTTGCAACAATACTGTCTTTCCAAATTTTCCTCGCGGCTGTATAAAACCCAGATATCAGTTGTGGCTGAAAATTGCTATAAATTAACTAATCAACACACGTTTGGAGATATTGTTATGTTGAAGATAAAATACAATACCATCTTAAGATAAAATTTCAACTCTATGCAATCCTTGAATGAACTGAAAATTGATGGATCCCTCTTTCCACCAGCTTTTCAAAGAGGGGTCACAATAAAATGGCATTGGAAAAGCATGTCCCACGAATGACTCCTCGAAGCAGAAGAGAAATAGCATCAGCTTCTGAGAGGAAACCCTCACATTTTACTGTGGTGGCAACATGGTCATGTTACACCTTGTGTGACCGGAATTAACGACCAGTTAGCGTTTCAAATGTGTTTCAAGTGTGAACAAATGACAAATTCAGTTCATCGTTAGACTTGAGTTGACTTGCAGGCGTCACACCCAATTATTTCATAAACGAAGAAGCTGATAACCAAGAACCATGCCGAATGAAATGGGAGGAGAAGTATTCTTATGAGTTTTATCAACCTTGACCTCACATCTGAGTAGCGAATTGAAATTGAATTTGCTCTACATTGTTGCAATTCGTGCGTCACTCCTGTATGTTCCTAGGAAGAATGAGGCATGATAACTGATCGGTTGAATATAGTCTCGATTATTTCTTTATTGAATTATTATATTCGAATCACATTGGAACAACATACATCAATTCGAGTGAGTTATTAATTCTCATTCCCACAAATATATGTTTACCTCTGGAAATCATTGATATTTATTCGCATAGTCCAAGGATTGAATTCTTCTAGCAACGTCATCTATAAACTCTTCGACACAATATATCGATTTCGCGGATGATATTCTTGTCAGTTTTACTGATAATAGTATATTATTCAACAAGCGCATAATGATGGCTATTACCCACGAAGATGAAAGTTGCAGTACGAGCCGAAGGCGAGTGCTGTGATCATCTGAGTGGGTAATAGTCATTATGCGCAAGTAGAATACTATACTTTATCTACAACTTTTCAAATATCAAGCAACTCTGAGAGTTCAGAAATATTGTAAAAACATACTAAATCTGATTTGAAATACTTATTAATTCCATCGAAAACTTATTGACAAAAATTTCATTCAACGAACAGCTTATAACTTATTTCAATAATTTTGGTTGTGAAAATATGATAAACAATGTTGGATATAAATTTTATTAACAGCAAAAAAATTGTGCAATCATATATCAGTCAATCTTAGCAGGTATTATATGCCATTTCACTTTTCAGTTGTAAAATGAATCATACTATTGCAGATTATTCATTAACTTGCTTTCGCTGTAGCGTTCCCCCACCGCGATGTTCAATTGTAGCACCCTGTCTCTAGAAGCTAGTTATCAACAATTGAATTCCATGGTTCTGATTGGTCTGTACTAATCCATTCGAATAGCCTGTAGCCATCCTAGTATTGGTGTGAGCAAATCTACAAGTGTCAAGTCCTATTTTATGGTTATGGTTACTCATGATGTTAGTCACTGTTGAGGATGGAAAACATTGAATTCTCATTTCTCCGTGTATTTGTAGAATTAATAAGGTGATTAAAACTATGAGAACCATGTAAGGTGTCTTTTGAATTTGCAAACTAGTAGAAAGAATACCTACCTAGTTGAATTTGACAAGACGATGGGATGTCAGATTATTACGCCACCCTACTATCATTACTCTTATTACTCGATTCATCACAATAATGTATGTCATTAAATGTCGGAAATCGAGTATGCAATGTATGAATGACTCCACAGTTGTAGATAAAATCTATTATTGAATAATATGTTGGTATGATGTGGGACCAAACATCTTGATTACCATATTGATGCATTTGAATCTGAAGCTAGACCATTTTCCACACATTTCACAGAACATTGACATTCAACCATGTTTTTGAGTTGAAGGATTGCTTCGAGAAGGTTTTTTCAAGAAAGGTTCACAGTGAGGACTAGAAGTCTGTCGCCCCCCTATGTAACTCCTTCATTCAAAATATCACGAAAAACGCATAAATTGTGAAGATTCATTCGATCATTCAAATTATTCTAAATATTAGACCCTGTGAATCATTGCATCTTCAGATGATAAGTATGGGATTCTGAAAAAGTTTGAGGGTTTTATATCAGAGAATAATAGATAGTTTCGATATTATGAACCCTCTGGTAAACTGTTATTCTGAATATGTTTGCAACATTTCAGAGACAAAACTGTAACATCTAAGATGGATGAGTTCTAGGGGGCTAGGTAGAAATGATTCTCATTGTATAATAACAATTTTACGTTAGCTCAGGGTCTTTGAGGAATCCTCAGAGGAGAAAGACTTCAGAAATTCTTGAGGAAACAACTATCAATAGAGGCGATGTAGTATATATCCTGTATATCGTTATGTTATACACTATCACTTTATAGCGTTTCTTGAACGATTTTGAACAAGAAGTAACTTACATTTTCGGCATCATCTTCGAAGGCAATGGAAAGTTCGACTGGAACTTCTGGCATGGTTTTATTGCTATGCATCGACCATAATGGATTCCAGCACGTCACCTGAAAGAAAAAAACAATGAGATCCATATGAAACTGAAGGCAGACTGGATCCGTTCACATCAGTATTGTCAAATGGGAAGTGTGATGAAATTATCTCAATGATCTCCAGCATCTATACCTCTTCTGAATTTTGTAGCTGAATATGACCTGAATAAAAAGTTTTGAGCTGACCGAATATTGGGACTTTGTGAAAATCGATACCTATATATACTGTTACGTTATTTGTGGTCAGAAGTGAATACTGACCCTACGCTGGTATTAATATGTTAGAATAATAAGGATGAACTCGTGATACTGGGAAAGCGATACAGTCCTTGTCGATTCAATTGAAACAGTATTGGTATTTCTTCAACGATATTATAGAGAGACTTGAATAAATCAGACTCAGGTTGCTTGATTTGAACCTCTTCAATATAACGTATTGCAATTAGTAAAAATGACAGCGGTTCCTGAAATATTCCGAAAATACTGAAAATCACTGATTTCGTTTCTATTTTTCTTAGGTATTGTTGTACTGTTGTCATGACGACTGGCATTTTACTTTCTTATTATTTATAGCCTACCACATTGGAAAATATTTTCACTGTTTCTCGATTTTGTTTCATGTTAAAATATCGTTATACATGGCTGGGAAGAGAATTTATAGCAATATCCAAAAATTCAAAAAAAGTTCCAATACCTACCTCCTGTCCCTATCCTCCCAAGGAACGCACGATGTTCTTTGAACATTATAGGGATTCCCTTTCGTGCGCTCCAATCGATAAAAAAAAATATGAAGAACAAATATGGCGCCTGAGGGAGAAACAAAAGATTCTTGATGAATATCCGAAAATAATGGAGATAGAATATACTGACGATCTCGACTTCTTCGTTATGATTAAATATCTGCTTGAACAAAATTCCAAATTCCTTTCTTTTATATGAAATGAATTGAAACCAAATCAGTGGTTTCCTCAAAATATTTCTGGAACGGCTTGTTTTATCTAAATTGTGAAACTTCATATTGAAGAAGTCCAAACTGTGAATATTTCTTTCCGTTTTCATTTCTTCATTCGATTATTATTGAAGGGAAACAATTTGACATTTTGGATGAGTCGGTTATTTGTCATGACAAAGAAGATGAGATTGTCAGTAATATTCATTCTCCAGTATTTTCAGAGATTCTCCATATGTAAGTTTTGTTTTCCCTTCAGGCGCCATTTTTGTTTGCCATATCATTGAATGCAGCTTAAAATTCGCTTCAAAGCCATGTATAACATGTTGACATTTACACATGAAACAGCGTCAAACACCTGTGGAAACATTTCCACATGTGGTAGAGGCCATGATCAATTACCAACTTATACATAATTCCCAATTCTTGTTTCTGATATTAACCATGAGGATAAATAGGAACGAAATCAGTGATTTTCAGTATTTCCAAGATATTTCCAAATTACGCAACTCTTGTCTGATTTAATCAATTCTATTCATCTCTTATACCATTTAGGAAATCGTCCTGACCCTATACATGTATTGAACAATAGTGGATTCGAATTCAGAGATTGGGCAGGCTATGATCATCCTATCAGATACATGGAAATTATGGTTTTGTGCGAAAGGTACAACGAAGTTTTGGCGCTCGGCAAAATCGTTTTATTTTTCATCGCTTGGAGCGCACGAAAGGAAATCCCTATAATGTTCAAAGATCATCGTGCGTTCCTAGGGAGGATAGGGACAGGAGGTAAGTATTGGAAATTTTTTTGAACTTCTGAAGATTATATGCTGTTGGGAATACTTCCTCGCGGGCAATCAATTCCATAGCCTAGCCGTTCTATGGATGAAGGAGTTTTAATAAAGTGCTGTTCGACATCTTTCGAGGTTGACAACGAAAGGATGTGCTGACTGGGCTTGTCTAGTTCGTCTGACTGGTATAGCTATTGAAGGAATGATAGCAGAGATTCCCAAAGAACATTTCCCGTGGAAGTATCGATAGAGAAGTGAGAGTTCGCCGACCTTACTACGGTGTTCCAATGATGTCAAAGAGTGAGTGAGTGTGGCGTCACCCACCAGGCGAATGGCTCTCCTCTGGATGGAATCTGAGAGCATCAGCGTATGTTTTGATGCTGAACCCCATATGTGGAAACAGTATTCTAGAACAGGCCGTATCTGCGCTTTGTAGATCATGAGAAGCTGTTGAGGTGTAAAGTAGCTTTCCGCACGGAACAAGAATCCAAGTTTTTGTGGAGCAGCTCTTGCGATGGATCTGACATGATTATCGTAGTCTTGCTAGTCTCTGATCACGAGAATAATTTTGGCCAATACCCTGTACATGTCGCTCCAAAGGAGTGAAATGATGATTAGACAAAGCTGATCTACATAAAGATAGATCGGTACCGTCTTGGAAACAATTTGTGACCTTGGATCGGACTTTTCAACAGTTGGTAATGTCTGTCATTTCCTCCTGAAAACCATTATAATTATGACTTTTCTTTACAGGTCCTATGTATTGTCTGATGATGACCATAGCGCCGAGATCAGTAATTAATTGTTAATGTTTTTCCACGTCATAGAGTGTGGTGCTCTGACTTTGTGTATCTTCGTATTCTTTATTGAAAGTACTGGGACCACTTTGAGACATGGATGAATTATTGTAATATATATTCACGGACGGAGTACACTCGAAGTATCATCTCACCCATTAACGAAACACGTCATGAATCAACCTCTTAATATCCAAACTGGTACCTGGAAGTAAGATATTGTAACGATCATTCCACCTACTATAACCTGCTGAAAGACGCATCAAGGGGACTATGAAACAGCTTCTCGCCTCTGAAATTCTATTACACTTCGACTTCTGACCGTGCAAGCCTGAGTCCGGATTCCCCTGAGACCGGCTGATAGCACCTTGTCTCTCACCCCATAATCCTTGTAGAACGAGTCAGTATGGAGAGAACGACCTTGCAACGTGAAACAACCCGTTAGAATGTGACTATATATCGAATTATCCAGTTTAGGATTCAATTTGAACGTAGAGTGCAGAAGTAGATACACAGTAAAGAGTAAATGTTTGAAAGAAGACGGTGCACTTGTTTTCAAATATTATCTTTGGTGTGGAGTTCACTTCTTTAAGTCAAAAACTCTATATCCATTTGAGAATACACATTAATTTACATCGAGAAAAATATTGTCTTGATCATTTAATTCAATTGAACACTCGAATACTGTCGTAATAGGGTAGTTTAAACGTTTATTCGATTCAAAGAACTATATAGAACATAACAACATAGAAAGTCTCTGACTATTGAAGTTCTGTCTATGAACTGCCAAATCCCCGTCATCCCTTGTCAGACCATCCCTTGGCCGACATGGTTGAAACTCTGATGACTAAACTATACAGGGTGTTTCATAATTGAATGCTGATCCTAAAGGGCGATGATCCTTGGATGATTTTGAGGAGAAAAGTTCAAATCAACATATGTCCTGAACCTCTTAGTTTTGAGCTACAGGGTGTTGAAATCAGAAGCGTACAGCGTTTTTTTAAATAAAACATTCAATATCAGGTCTACGAGGACATCACTGGTAAAAGTGGAAGTTTGATTTTCGTCCCCAAACAAAATGTGTTTCCACTTATAGTGGGTGTCTACTGAATTACCAAAAACAATATCCAAGAACTGTAGGATCAAAATTCTTTGGTTTTTATTTTTTTACGCGAAAACGGTACGTTGTATGAAAGTAAGTCTAGGAACCAAATTTGCTCCAAAATAAACAAGAATTGGAAAAAAAATCTGGTTCTCAAAAAAATCATTGGCGTGCTATTTTTTTCTTCAAAAATTGTCAGTTCAAACCCCGTACGGACGCCACTAGTGAGAATTTTCAAATATCTCTCACGTAAAAAAATGCTCCTTAATTATGAAAAGGTGTATACAAAATATCATAACAATATCTAAGAGTGATAAAAAATTATGAAGAAAAACTCATTTTTTTCTTGAAATTTCATTACCCTGTAGCTCAATAACTAAGAGGTTTAGGACATATGTTGATATGAACTTTTCTCTTTGAAATCATCCAAGGATTATCGCCCTCAAGGATCAGCATTCAATTATGAAACACCCTGTATAGCGGGAGTGATACTACAAATACCTTGTCTGGAATCAGAACACTTTGAAGCAGGATCGGTGATTTTCATCACGAAACGGACGAGTGAGAAATAAAATAATGGCTACTGAGATAATATGGACAACTTGATCTAAATAAAAATATCTTGTTTCTATACAAGGCTTTTATATTACTAGGAAGATCTCATTTCGTTCCTGACAAGACAGTTAAAGATCATGAAGAGAGTGTATTTTGCTATAGACAGAAAATCATAATTCTTCTCCTGATTCAACAGTGATATGACTAAAATGACTTATTATTTTTATTGTTTTGAGGAAATATATCTCATTCCAATGTAACCCATGATTTATGTTTGGAATATCTAGCTCTCATAATTTCAAGAAATCAAGATTATCCCTATGAATGTGAGGGTTTCTTGTCTGAATGAAAGTGAACTACTCCGGGAATGAACATTTCAGGAACCTATAGAATTAATTGAAAACCTTCGAGGTTTGTAAGGATAGGTACCTTCCTATCAATTAACACGTGTTAAAGCGCTAGTTGTGATATCTGTCTGTATACTGATTATTGGTTCTTTTTTGTCATGACTACAAGATACGTAACGACGTCTGCGGCGAAGTGCCAAGGTGGAATTCATCATCGAGTAGGTACTTGGTGGTTAACTTGGTGGTATAGGTTCAGAAGAAGAATAATTCCATGAAATCGTCAGACAATATGATTCAGAAACTCATGAATAAATAATCAAATTAGGTTTAGAAACCCAATTCAAGAATGTTATTCTCTTATTTCAGTATTGTATATATGTTCTCTAAAGGAGAATACGCCGATGGGCCCCAATTTTGAATGGATTGGCC